ATGCATTTATGGCAAGATTTAATAATAAATAAATATTTAATATAAATGCTGTTACCTAAAATAATATATAAATTGCTTACTTTTATACATAAAAAATAATTTAAAACAGATATGTATATATTTATGTTTGTATGCCTCTACCTATTAGAGCTAGGGACTCTCGACTTGCTTTGGAAGTCACTATATATTAAGCTTGTTTCAGAAAACTGAAATTCGTGATATTTAGTTTTTTTTTAAATTAAATTAAAGAAATCTTTATTAAATTATAGTAGGGAAATCTTTATATCAAGAGTCCCTACATGTTTCATTTTGTTTTATATACTTTATACAATTATGGGTTTTGGTATATTTGGGATAACGGCTCTTTATTTCAGGGCATTTTGTAACCAATTCTCTTTATAAAACTTTTCAATGAACGTCCCTGAGCTTCAGCAAACTTTGTTGTCAGCCGTAATGAATTATGAGCAAATCACACACACTTACAAATCAACATTTCTTAATAATTTATTTTTGCCAAAATAAGAAAACAACTACACAGTACTATTTATATAGATACACAATATATGTAAATATATATCGATTTCAAATCTTGAGCCTACAAACTATGAGTAATGCGGCGCCTTTTTAAGTACTTATCAATGGGCCGCATGGGCGGCTGCTTGTGGGGGGGCGTGTTGCGGCGAATGATGCAAATGATGGTGATGATGATGATGATAGGTGAGCGTSGGCGCAGGTGGCGCCACAGCTGTGACAGCTGAGGCCGCAGCAGCGGCCGCGGCAGCAGCAGCAGCTGCAGCAGAGCCGCCGGCGGCAGCAAAGCCATTCGCTGCTACCGCCATCTGTTGCTCATAGTTGGCATAATGATCGTAATAGCTGCCGTAGCTGGAACCGTGCTCCAGACTCGGATTCAAGCCGTTGCCGCTGCCGCAGCCGCTGCTACTGCTTATGGCGCCACCTGGCGCCGTGGTGCCCGTATCAAAGTAGCTGACGCCGCTGTAGCTATTGGCGCTTTCGTAGTAGTGAGCGTGTCCGCCGGAAATGTTGCCGTAATGCTGCTGCTGATCTTGCTGCTGCTGCTGTTGCTGTTGCTGCTGATGCTGATGCTGCAGTTCGTAGTCGGACTTGGTTGACTCACGCTGGTAGTAGTAATCGTAGTTATCCTCCGTATAGCTCGCCACCGGCTGCGTCTCCACGGTCGCATTGTACTTGATGGTGGGCGTCGTTTCGTTCTTGCAGCCCAGCTCGAGGTGCTTGATCTGCGAGTAGTTGATGAACTCCGGCTCCGGCGTAGCCAGCTGTGGACTCGACTCGTATGCCAGCTGACAGCTGCTGTTGCCTAGGGCGTTGCTAGCGAAGCCAGACGGAGTGGACTGGGGGTGATTGGGCGGCTGGTAGGCCAGCTCCGAGATGCACGTGTAGGGCAGACTGGGCGATTTGCTGGGCGCGGCTGTGGCAGCCGTGGGCGTGGCATGGTAGATGGGATAATTGTAGGTGATATGCTGATGATTCACCGTGAACACATTCGCCGAGGATTCACAGTTGGCTGCTTCACTGGCGACATTGGCCAGCGGCCAGGAGCTGTTCATATAGTTGGAGGATTGACTCAGCTGATGGGCGCGCGTGCTGTCCTCCAAATAGCTGCACGTGCAGTGGCTATACGTGGTGCACTTGCCGCAGGCTATAAAGGATCGGGGTATGAGATGAGTTGGCGAAGCGATTAACAGACTCCAATTGACTCACCATTGAATTGATATATCTCCAGAGCTGAGTGACCCAGTGGCTGGCTGGCTGCGGAGCGCTTGAGCACTTTGCTCATGAGATTCTGTTGCTGCTAGCGGGAGAGAGAGAGAGAGAGAGAGAGTTTGAATGGGACTTGGGAAGAGATCGATAACAGGGAGTGGAACTCACCTTCACCTGCTTCACCAGGCCTGCTATGACCGACTTCTTGGGCACGCTGCTCGACCTACTGCCCGTCAGGCTGGAGCTGCTCTTGCCGGCCGTGAGAGAAACTCGTCCGAAGGCTCGCTTCGAGACGCTCGAGTTCTTGGGATCGGGTCGCAGATGATCGTGCACGCCCTTGGCCTGAAAGAAGATGGCATTGCCGGAATGCCGCCAGAAATGTGTGACCGGATAGCCGCAGTGGCCGCGACAGGGCTTGATCTCCAGCCGGCCGCCGCGGCAGCTCTTGTTGGGGCACGCCTTGCCCTCCTGTTTGCGTCGCGCCTTATCGCATATCGCCGGCCGCAGATTGATCTTGCTGCCGTTGGGCAATGTGCAGTGCTGCGAGCAGACGAGCACGCCCAGGCAGCTCTTCTTCAAGATGTTCACATTGTGATTGTTGGTGTTGCGCATGGCCCAGCCGGAGATGTGCTTCTTGGCCTCCTCGTTGTGCACCGAGTAGACCAGCCGGACATGACCGTCGCTCCACTCGCTGAACTCATCGAACTCCATGTCGGCCACCTGCGGCACGATCGCGTCGTTGATGTCCCAATCTCGTTTACTCTTGCTGACATTGTTGTTGTTGTTGTTGTTGTGAGTGTTGTTGTTGTGCGTCGACATCCCGCTGGATGCTGCCTGCAAGTGGCTCTGTTGACTCTGATGATGCTGCTGCTGTAGCTGTGGATGCGGATGCGGATGCAGATGCGGCTCTGTTTGTGAGAGTTGTTGGTAGTGCGCCTTGAACGTGTAGCCATTTCTGCAAAGGAGATTCAACATGTGTTCATTCCAAGCTAATCCTTATGGCTTTCAGATAAGATAAGACGTTTGGAAAGTCAGTAGAAGTGAGACACCAGCATAAATCGCTGATAGCTCTTAAAGACCGATTAGCTTTATCTTCGATTTAAGACTTTGTTCCTCCTAAGACTTAATACTGAGAAAATTTGTATTCTTACGAATTAGTCTTACGAATAAAGTTCATCCATCCGAATAAAGTCATTCCATACCTGTTAGATAATTTACTGTATATAAAAAGCAAAATTCATGTTGAATTTCCTTATTCAAATTATTATCAAATATAATGTTTATATACATATATAAATTAATTATATATGCACATAATTGGTAAAGCATCTGGCAGAGTTATAAGAAATATTCCTTCTTTTCTTAAACATATTCTCTTAATATTACAGATTTCCCACAGCTTAAAACTCTAACGTTTAATTGATCCTGATTTTAAATCAGGGAATAAAGTTTTATGCTCCACTAGCTCAATCCAATCTTTTAAATATTCATAATATAAACAATATACTCTAATGTTTGTAATGCTGATTGTGCTAATGTTAATATTCGAGTTTTAACTGGATATAATTTTTATATTTTATATGTATGGATATTACTAAACTTGTATTCCGATTCAATTCCACTATTAATATCAGCTCATCATTAATCTTTTTAATATGAAAAAATGTTTTATGAACAGTAATACAGTTTGTGAACCATATCAAGAATTGGAACAGATGCATTTCTTATCAGCTTTACTCCAACTCAATATAACTGTACTATAAAAGTATAAAAATATAATTAATTATACGATAAAAAATATTCAAAAGAAAAATAATAATAATAATCTGATACTTAATATATTTTCATCAAAGAAAACTCTAGAATTCTAGAAAGAAGTGGAATAAAATAAATATAAATATAAATAACTCAAGCTTATGATTCATTTTCAGATATTTAATTTTTTTGTTAATATTTCAAAACTTTTATAAAAACGGACTCATTTTTCTTCATAGAACCTAAAATATACGAATTTTGCAATTATTACTTAACATTTCCCATCTAATTTTAGTTTTCTACGTACTTAACATCTGTTACATGCTTTCATTCTTTTGGTTTTTTATTCACTTCTCGGCTCATCATTAATTTCAAATAATGTTAAATAACGCTGAAAGCAAACGAAAGAGTTCAACTCTAAGCACACTTTGAATGCGGGTTACCTTAGCTCTTAGCTGAAGGTACTTTAAGCTGAAGCTAAGGTACTTTAAGTTAAAAGTTCCTAAACTCAACGAAATGCACGTGAGTTTTATCTTATTGCCGCTTTGGCATCACTTCAAGCTATTATTTATTGGCCAAGCTTCAATCTAAATAAGTCGACTAAACGATTCCTATGAAATGGTCTGAACTTGGTTTACGATATCGTTGTGCGTTGCGTGGGTTCCGAAACAATCAAATGAAATGCTTGTTGGGTTTATGCGTGTCATGGCATGCATAACTCTTCGGGGCGTGACATTAAATGGGCAGAGTAGACGGCAGGCAGGTACCGTTAGCGTTAGCCCAGTTAAGAGAATCAAGTACCACATCGTAATCCGAGCGCCAGCTAACAATATTATTGGCACTTAAAGCGCCGGCGCTGTGACTCATCAACAGATCAACAGTGCGAAAGAGAGAGAGAGAGAGTGAGAGCGAGAGAGACAGAGACTCCAAGGCGTCTCGTCTCGTCTCCTGTGTGATCCACGCAGACGTGGGAGATCAACGCTTAGATTTATGCGGCAAACGTTTAGTGGGCCTCGCTCTACAATTAGCAATAAATTTGTCGAGGCAACGCGCCTCATTAGAGGGCGCCCTGTCGCGGAGGCCCCAATCACGGACGCAGTCTCAATATGCTCAATCTCTGGCTCGCCCCGGGCCTCAACTTAGCTCGTTCGATGCCTATTCTGTCTTGATTCTTTTTATGTGTACTGGGAAGTCAGCGGCAGGCCAGCGCTTCGCCTATGATACCTGATCGAGTTGGGATCGTGGTGGTCCGCATTGAACCTGTTTCACGTGTGGCTCGTTTGTCGGTTGTCGCTTTGTTTTGGGTACGTAAATTGACTGCTTGACACTTCGTAGCGCGCTTATCTGATTCTGATAGCCGCACTTCGTTGTTCTGAGCCGACTATAATAACTTTGTCACCTACAAAATATGTCTATATACATAACTATTTGCTCTCTCTCCCCCTCTCTCTCGCTCACTCTTTCTCTCTCTTTTTTGTACCCCTTTCACTGGTCCAGTCAGCCCCCGCTTTGGAACCTTTAGGTGTTTGTGTGTGGTCTGTGATTCCCGCGGCGTGTTTTGGAGTGTTATTAAGTCTTCTCACTCACACCCTCTCGTTCTCTCTCTCTCTCTGTCTAGATCGCTGGCATAATAAAGCGCTTGAAATAATTTAAATATTTTTGTGCTTATTTCGATGTTTTTCTTTTTATTGATATTTGTTGTTTTTTTTTCTTCATTTGTTTTATTTATACCGATTTATTGCTTAAATTTTTAGGCCTCTTATCATAGCATTTCGTAATTATGTTAGATTTTTTTAATGAAATTTTAAATTCTTTAAGTGCTTCATATATGTATAGACATACGTTTATTCATTAGAATTTGAACTCAATGCGAAATTAGATTTGAAAAACGTCATAAGTATTATCTTGATTTCAATTTTAATTATATTTGCGCAATGGTTTTGATTTGTAGTTTTTGGTATATCTATAGTACATATCTATAGGGGTTAGAATGGTTCGTGATTTAATTTAGTAGAACTATCGAATCTTTAGATAATAGTAATAGTAATAGCCTCTACAGTCCTCTTAAGAACCCTACTAAAAGGTCATCTCTGCAACGGATTTTAAAATATGTTAATCTATCTTAAACATTTTAAATATTTTCTATTACTATGTTTATTGCTCATGCATACTATTTTAAATATTTGTATTGTCCACTCTTTCAATATCATTAAAATTAATAATGAATAAATAGTAATAATAAATGATCAATCAATAGTTTGTTATTTTTTAAGGGTATCCAACCTTCGATTGGCAATATATATTTTTCTTATTGCGAATTTTTAAATGTTCTTTATTGTAAGTGTAAAATACGTGTTTCGATATCGCGATTTAAAAGCCCACAATATAATTAAACATTGTTAAAATTGTTTTATAATTTCATTTGCATACTTAAGATAAATAAAAAAAATTTTCCTGCATTATGATTGCTTAGCTGGAGATTATTTTATTGATTTGTTTATTTAAATTAAGCTATATTGCCTTATATATATA